CTGCCTGGAAACTGAGAAACGTCCATGGCATCCAAAAAGTGTCCCTTTAGATCAAAAGCCATTTTAGACCAGCTAGAGAACAGCGATAGTAAATTACATATACAATACATATTTCCATGCAAAAAAATGTACCACTTTGAGCACCGAAATATGGACATAATCAGACCGCTAGGGAGGTTAAACGAAAATCAGTACATCTGGTTTTGTATGAGAAACATTTTGGCGCTTGTCCCTTCCGATATTTCACATTCGTGATCGTCTCTCAAAAGCTGTGTACTAACGATCAGATTATCGGATGATCAGTCCTCGTATGAACATTTTCATACAATTTTCTTATCATGTGTACGGGCCCAGGGGCGGACTGACCATTTGGAAGGTGAATTGGGCTGCCATTTAAAATGAGAAGGTGCACTGGGGTGCCATTCAGAATGTCAAAAGTCATTGCATTGCAGCAACGTGCACAGGTGGCGGACTGACCATTTGGAAAGTCGGGCACTGCCCGAGGGCTCGGGGTCAGAAGGGGGCCCCATGAGATGCCCCTGGTACCTTTTTCATAGGCTTTTTTGAGTTTGGGCAAGGACACAGGGGCCCCATGATCCCCTATTGCCCGGGGGCCCCATGAGTTGTCAGTCCGCCCTTGTACGGGCCATAATTCATTGTTAATATCCATGTCTCCATGCTTTATTTTGTTGAGAATTAATTTTGAACAACACCCCTGGTTTTTCTGGCAGTGGTCATCTTGAGTAAGGGTAGATGATTCATGCAGCATTTACTTCCTGGAATCCATATGCCCTTAGCTCAGGCATAGGTTGAGCTGGGAACCCTTCCTCCTCTCCTGAAGACTCATGGGATGTATGACATCATTTGCCTAGGCCTGGAAACCAGGATGTAACTAAAGAAATTAAAAAAAAAAAAAAAAAAAGTTAAAACAAGCAAATATGACATTCTTTCCTATCCATTTTTCTAATGGTAGCAGCATAAGGATTAAAAACAGTCAATGTTGATTGAGAGTGAAGTTCCACATAAGGTCTCCTGCACTCTGGATATTTATAATGCTGCTGTTAGGGGGTCTGGTGATTTTTTTCTGCCTCTAAATGCCCCTGCATGTTAGCCTATGTGTCCATGCACACATAGTGGTTGATTTACTAAAGGCAAATAGGCTGTGCACTTCAAATGTACTCCAAGTGCACTGAAAGTGCAGTTGCTCTTGATCTGAGGAGAACACGCAAGGAAATAAAAAAACAAAAATTTTTGCTTGCACGTGATTGGGTGAAAGCAATGACAAAGGTTCGCCTCATTTCAGAGCTTCCACTTGGATATAAATCAACTGCACTTGCAGTACACAGTATATATGCCTTTAGTAAATCAGCCCCATAGTTTGTATAGGCATTTAGAAGCAAGGAAAAAAAAATGCCAGTGCTTCCAAGAGCAACAGCGTTTTGGCAGAAAAAAAAAACTTGACGTGCCTAAACGAGTGTAAAGCTGGCCATACACGTGTAGGTTTTGGATGAGAGTATTTATAAGCAGAGTCATCTGAAAATTCGATGAATGGATGAATGTCGTTTGAAAATTGTCTTTTGCTTTTAACATTTGATTGTAAAAGGAATGTAATTTCTGAACGATAACCACATACACTGGCCAAAAATGCGTTTTTGATTGAGAAACGTTTTCCTTTCTGCCCCTTCGAATTTTTGACCCCACTAATGATTAGAAAATCAAATGAATATTCTTGAAATGAAAATTCTCAAACAAAAATCTAATACGTGTATGGCCAGCATTAACGCTAGGCATGTTAATTCATTTCAATGGCCAGAATAAATGATTAATATTAACGCCCAAGCACTTGGCGTACCTAAACACATTACACGTTTATGCAAGCGTCAATCGATTTTTCTGCCAGCACGTTGCTACCAGGAGGAAAGGCATCTAGGAGAGATGGGCTAGAGGTCCAGTGAGCATGAGGCCTTATTACTGACTAATTCGATTGGGTTGTTTGGGTAAGTACACTACTGTGCAAAAGCCTTAGGCAGGTGTGAAATAATGCTGTAAATGAAAGGGGAAGTCCAGCCAAAGCTCTTTTGGCTGTACTTCTGTGGATCTCAGGAGTGTAGTTCCTTCTGTACTCCTGTGACCCGTTTTCAGCCAACAGAGGGCTAAAGTCCGCTGTCAGCTGACATTACTCAGCAGGTTCAGCCTGGGGAAAGATCTCAGTTTTAGGGCCATTTCACACCATAGATATGCAGTCCAAATGCGTTCCGGATGCGTTTCCGCATGTGCGTTTTTGGTGTGTTCCGTTTCATTTTTCATGTTTTTCGGCTCATTTATTACCCTCTGTTTATTCAATTTAAATAGGGACATTTGCTTTCCAGTGCGTTTTGGTGCATTTTTTATACGTTTTACTGCGTTCCAGTACAGTTCTGTGCAGGAAAAATGTAGCCTGCACTACTTTATTTTCTGCAACTGGAACGTACCGGAACTGCAAGCACTGATGTGAACTATGACATTGACAACCATATAACCTACTTTCTGTGCGTTTTGGATGCATAAAAAAAGCAACTGAAACACATGTAGTGTGAACTGGCCCTTAAAGTCAAGATCCACCCAGATCTCTGGAGCTGCACCTGTCTTAGCTTCTCAGCGATCCACTGAGAGCCTGAGCCAGTCTCTCCCTCTTCCTCCACAGCCCAGCAATCCAGTGAGTGCGGGAAGGGGGACGGGGAATCAGAGCAGAGTGGTGACCAGCTCCCTGCTCACGTAGCACAGAACTAAGTGTTCAGCGGTCTTTGATCGCTCATTTCTCAGTGTTAGAGCCAGTCAGAGACAAATGCAGTATCCACCTAGGTAAGAATATTTTCTAGAAAAAAAACCCCTACACCTCTTTTAAGAATGCTTTCAGAAAGAGAAGTGTTAGGCCCCTTTCACACATCATTTCAGTCATATTTTTTTTCCAAGCAAAAACGGATCAGTTTACATCTGTTTTTTTCATCAGTTTACATCCATTTTTCATCAGTTCCTAGATTGTAAGCTCGAAAGAGCAGGGCCCTCGAACCCCTCGTGTATTGTTTTGTTACTGTATTGTCTCATGTTCTGTCCCCCACTATAGTGTACAGCGCTGAGCAAACCTTCTGGCGCTATATAAATACTGTATAATCAGTTTACATCAGTTTTTTCATCCGTTTACATTTGTTTTTGTTCGTTTTCATCCGCTTACATCTATTTTCGTTTTTTGTCGTTGACATCCGTTTATGTTGTTTACATCCATTTTTTGTCTGTGCCGTTTTTTTTTTTTCTATCTAAGAAAAATAGGGTTTTGTTCCATTAAAAAAACGGATGTTAACAGATGTGCACATTAACGGATGTAAACAGATGATCATCCGTTTACATCTGCTAGTCCATAGAAACACATGGTTGTCCGTTTTTCATCCATAAACAGACAGATGAAAAAAAACGGACATATGGAACACCCATGTGAAAGGGGCCTTAATAGTTTATATTTATCAATTAACACAATGTAACAAAAAGTAAACAAACAGAAAAGGAATCTATATCAAATCAATATTTGGTGTGGCCATCCTTTGCTTTCAAAACAGCATCAATTCTAGGTACACCTGCATACAGTTTTTGAAGGAACTCAGCAGGTAGGTTGTTCCAAACATCTTGGAGATCCAACCACAGATCTGTGGATATAGGCAACCTCAAATCCTTCTGTCTTCATGTAATCCCAGATAGACTCCATGATGTTGAGATCGGGGCTCTGTGGGGGCCAAACCATCACTTCCAGGACTCCTTGTTCTTCTTTACACTGAAGATAGTTCTTACAGCAGAACTTCAGCTAATTGCTTTTTACCAGGCTGTTCCCCCACTGCATGGATCAGCTGCTTGTTTTTTTTTTCTAGGGGTGAGGACTATGCTCATACTCACCTGACCTGCCAATCCTATGAAAAACTGTATCCCCCCCCCCCCATGGTCCAGTGGTGGACTGTTCCTGTTTGTGGAGAGCGCATTGAACCTGGTGCAGTCCGGAACTGTCTATTTACAAGACAGCTAAACTGTGGGGGGGAAGGAGCCGAAAGGTCCGGTTGGTGGATCAGGTGAGTATATCTTCTGTGTTCTTTCCCCTAGAACAAAACGAACATTTAACCCATGCATATTATTGTATTAAGAGTTTTCTTGTAAGAATACTGTCAGATCAATATTCTTTTTAGAAATCATGCATTTAACATTACAATGGAAAAGTTTATGTCATAAAGTTGATAAAAAATGTTTTTTAACCAAATGTCTTTTTCAATATATGTATGATCCTATTGCTGCATTAAAGTCCCACTGGGGGTTCTTTGCATACATGCATTCATACAGGGATGAGCAGCCAGATACTCAACACTTTTGGTTCAGCTTTGATGCCTTGATGGGGGGATGTCAGGCTGGAAGAGTGGGCATTAAAAGGCAGGCTTTATTTTGCATGTAAACTGCTGTAAGTAATGCTCACATGTGATGTTGAGCCTATATGAAAGAACTGAAATTTAATGAATGAAAGGGGTGGATCAGGACAGTCAGGCTTGTGAGCAAAGGGCTAAGTGACACTGGACTTCCTCCAGCTAGGAAATGAAGCAAGTTCTGATTTGCTGGACCTTTTAATGCACCCTGTGGGAAGTTCACAGTGTGCAGTGAAATCAGTGTAAGCCATCTCTGTACAGGAGAGGAGCCTGTATAACTGTACAAGAATGAATGCATGGATGGGGTTTTCACTTTAAAGAACATCAGAACAATCAGATAAAGAAACAGTTTTATGGTTTCTTACACTTGTATCAGACACAAATAGTTTAACGCATGCTCTTTATGGCTGCAATAGATTGTAATCACACTTGTACACCACACAATACAATTTGATTAGTTAAAGCAAATAGTTTCCACAGAACAATTTTCCATTCAGTTTAATCAGTAATTCTTATCATAGCTGAGTGAAAACCAAACATTACGATCATACAGCTTGATTTACAAAATCATATGACTAGACTGTAAATGTCTAGGTATCCCGAGGTCCTAATCAAACTGTTGTGATAACCACATTGCATGGTAATGAATTATGCACGTTCAGGGGCGGACTGACAACTCATGGGGCCCCCGGGCAATAGGGAATCATGGGGCCCCTGTGTCCTTGCCCAAACTCACAAAAGCCTATGAAAAAGGTACCAGGGGCATCTCATGGGGCCCCCTACTGACCCCGGGCCCTCGGGCAGTGCCCGACTTTCCAAATGGTCAGTCCGCCCCTGTGCACGTTGCTGCAATGCAATGACTTTTGACATTCTGAATGGCACCCCCAGTGCACCTTCTCATTTTAAATGGCAGCCCAATTCACCTTCCCAACACAGTTGCATTGCAGTGCAGCACAACATGCATTAACAAATGTGGTGCTGTGCTGCAAAAACAAAAACAAAATGCTGCCTGTACCTTTTTGGTGCATTAGGCAATCTGATCTCATGAGTAGGCTGCCTTAACACCAGGGGCGGACTGACCATTTGAGCACTCGGGCACTGCCCGAGGGCCCGGGGTCAGTAGGGGGCCCCATGAAATGCCCCTGGTACCTTTTATAGGCTTTTTTTGGGTGTGCTTTAAGTGTGGGCGAGGACACAGGGGCCCCATGATCACCTATTGCCCGGGGGCCCCATGAGTTGTCAGTCCGCCCCTGCTTAACACACAGCATGTTAAAAAAGCATGACAGTGTAAACCCAGAATTAAGCTCCATTCACATCAGCGCATCTCCAAAGTCGCACGATTTCCAGTTCGACTTTGATGTGACTTGTGGTGCAACTTTAATTCAACTTTACAATCACTGGACTAAAGTCGCATAAAAAGTTGTACCAAAGTAGTGCAGGAACTACTTTCAAGTCGTTGTGACTTGCAGTTGCACAGATTTGAATGGTACTCATTGGGAAATATGGGGTGCGACTTGTCATGCAACTTTGGACCCCAAAGTCGCATGGTAAGTCACACAAGTGTGAATGGACTCTTAGGGCTAGTTCACACTAGATGCAGTCCAGTGCGCTTTTTTTTCTGCATCAAAAATGCATGTACAGTGTTTATCATGTATTCCAATGGCCTTAGTTCACACCAGCACAGTCAGTTCCAGTCAGTTTCCGGTGCAGAAAAAAAAGTAGAACATGCTGCATTTTTTCTGCACAGAACCATACTGGAACATAGTAAACTGCATCAAAACTGCACCAGAACTGCGTGTGGTGTGAACTGTAAGCAAAAATGTATCCGGAATGCATTTTTGTAGTGTGAACTAACCCTTAGGGTTTAATATACTGAGGGCCGGTTCACACTATAGAAACTCAGTCCAGATGCATTCTGGATGTGTTTTTGCATGCAAATTTTTTACATGTTTATGCATGCGCATTTTTGATGTGTTCCAGTGCGCTTTCTCTGTCTTTTTCTTCAATTTAAATAGGGACATGTGCGTTCCTGTGCATTCTGGTGCATTTTACTGTGTTCCAGTACAGTTCTGTGCAGAAAAAATGCAGCATGTTCTACTTTTTTTTTCTGCACCCGGAATGCACTGGAACTGCAAGCACTGATGTGAACTATGAAGTTGACAACCATATAACCTACTTTCTGTGCATTTTGGATGCAGAAAAACCACAACTGCAATGCATGTAGTGTGAACCAGGCCTGAAGCTGCTTCACTCAGAATCTCATGCACATCTGCATAGAAACCAATCAGCTTCCAGGTTTTATTGGCAAAGCTTAATTGAACAAGCTGAGGTTAGAAGCCGATTGGCTACCTGCGCAGCTGCACCAGATTCTGAGTGCACCAGTTTTAGTAAATAAACCCCCACCATGACAACAACAACCCTACCTTGGGTTGTTTGGGTAAGCCTGTGAGTTAAAATACTGTATATACAAACCCTCACCTTGTAAAACAACCCATTCAAACAAATAGAAATGAAAGGCAAAACATTTATAGATATAAAAAAAAAACAATATATATACCCTTTTCCCCTGTTTTATAAGTGATCACATACCCTCTGTTCTCAGATGCATAAGGAGCTGGGGGAGGAGAAATAGCATGACACTGATCTTCCCAGTGAATGGTGGGGGGGCATGTAAGCACAAGTCTGATTAGTATGGTCAGTTTTTATAGGAAAGCAGAGGGACAGGCAGGAACACCAAGTATTTCAAAGGAAGCAAAGCATTACAAAGAGAACAGGAAACTTTTTCATACAAGTACATGGTACAGCAGACACATATCAGGCATATGATATGCTGGGTTTACATATTCTTTAATTAGTGGCCATTAAAGCAAAAAAAGCAAAGGAGAGTTTGAGAGAAACTGTACATAATTCTGTGATTCCATTATTGTACAAGGGAATTCATTTCATTTTGCTGCCACCTCATGGTAGTTAGCTGTTATTGCAACTAGAAACTAGCAAACATTTGGGCAGTCTTTACCAAAATTTTGTCCATTGTCCTCCATATCCTGGTAACTTATATCAATCCTCTACCAAATCTTGCATACTTATCTTTCAAACTTTGATTGTCCAATCTCCAAACCTTGTTTTATTAAAGTAATCCTCATTTCAGCTTCAAATTTCTGTGAATTTTCACCCTGAAACAAATTTATACCTCATCTAAAAAAATCACTTGCCCTGAAAAACTCATTTAGGCTGGCCATACATTATACAATTATCTGCAGATTTTTGGTTTAGATTTACCAAAAACCATATAATAGGAGGACAAACCTAAACAACACTTTCAGTTGTATCCAATTAGGCAGGCCCTTGCACTACATAGTTGAAGGTAAATCTAAAAGGAAATTGGGCAGAAAATCTGCAGATAATTGTATAATGTATGGCCAGCCTTACACATGAAAATCATATGTCAGTTAGGAATGAGTTGAGTGTCAGAGTCAAGTACCAGTGTGAGGAATTCTAATCAGGTGTCAACCATCAGGTGTAAAGAGTCCAGTTGGCAGATATTAGAGTCTACTATCAGAATCTGGCATCAGAATCCATGATCAGAACTGAGTGTCATAACAAAGTTTTAAAGTTAACTGTCAGGCATAAGATTCTATTGGCTGATGTTAGAATCCAGTATCAATATCTGGTATTAAAGCTAGTTATCAGAACTGGGTGTCAAAACCTAGTTAGGGCTCATGTACACAGGGCGTTTGAAAAACTTTTCTGACCGCTGGAAACCAACTGCTAGAAAACGTAGGTTAAAAACGTCAGTTTAGCGGCATTTAGTTACCGTGTTTATGCACGTTTGTGTTTAGAAGCGGTTTGAAAAGAAAACCTCAGGAGACCCTCCCAAATGCCCAAAATCCACTGAAAAATAGTAAATAATTGACTTTTTCAGACATTTTGTGTGAGAGAGCAGAAGCAGAGAGGGCACTACTGTAAATGAGCGTTGCAACTGTAGAAAAAGTGGCTTCTGAAACATGCTTGGCACTGTGGGAGGAGCTACATAAAGTGCTGCAATGCCTCCGGATGCATGCTGAAGTGCACACAACACTCCTTGTGCTTTTTTGCTGTGTTTTGATGTGTTCCAGTACAGTTCTGTATAGAAATAATGTAGCACGTACTACCATTTTTTCCTGCTCAAGAAACCTGGAACTGACTGCACTGGTGTACTAGGTCCATTTGAATATATGGAAAACGCTGTACATGCATTTTTGATGAAGAAAAAAAGGTTCTGGACAGCATCTGGATATGGACGAGCCCAAAAACACGCATAAACGTGGTTACAAGCGTTTGGCGTTTGAAATGCCGGTAAACTCTACTCCTGAATGCGATTTTTGTGCTTTCAAAAAAGTGCCTGTAACTTCAACTGCCTGTAAACTACTGTAAATGACTATGTGTACATGGACACTGTGTACATGGACATGGGCTGCTGAAAAAAAACGCACAACTGCTCCTAAACGTCAGTTCAGCAGCTGCAGTGTACATGAGCCCTTAGAGTCAACCACTGGGTGTTGTTAGGATCAGAAATCAGAGACAGGCAGCAAAGTCAGGTAATAGAGTCAGATGTTTGACAAACTAATGGAACCGACTTCTAGACAACTGAATAGGCTAACTGTGTATCTAATTAGGTTATATATAAGTTAATATGATGAAAGAACAATCTGCCCCAAGTCTGATACTTCACTCCAACAGCTGATTGGTACACAGTTTTGAAAGTTGTCTTATGAATGACTCAGACATCAAAATATGACATTCAACTCCAAATTGTAACTCTGACATCTGCAACTAGACACTGTCCCTCGATTCTGTAACTTTAATTACCACTACTTGATTCTGTCATCTGAGTTTGATTCCCGATATGGATTGCAGACACTATCATCTGATTTAAAGAACTGAGTTTGATACCTGACTTATGCCTAAGTCTGAGATTTAATGTCTGACTTAATAAGGACAAATGAATATGCTTTGGAGAAGCAGATATGTAAGTCTGAAGCAGGGGCGGACTGACAATTTGGAAACTCGGGCACTGCCCGAGGGCCCGAGTCAGTAGGGGGCCCCATGAGATGCTCCTGGTACCTTTTTCATAGGCTTTTTTGAGTTTGGCCAAGGACACAGGGGCCCCATGATCCCCTATTGCCCGGGGGCCCCATGAGTTGTCAGTCCGCCTCTGGTCTGAAGGATAAATAATTGTAGTGCTCACTCCTGCAGAAGCACACAGTTTTAAGGTGTCTAGGGTCTTGACTTGTAAGTGCCCCACTGCCTGGCATACAGTCACAGTCACTCCTTTGGCTCAGTAAACAGTCTAGGGGTATGCTTTTCTGATGTTTTATTGTAGAACTTGAACTTGGATAGGTGCAGGGTACCTGTGGGATTCTCTAGTAACGTTTAGTAGCAATTTGAGGACACTAGTTTTCCTCTAAAGTTCTGAGCAGAGTCCTTGCACAAACAATTAATGGAATGAGCTTTCAAGACACCAGACACAGTGTCCCCTTTGAACAAAACTGACTCTAGCACAAAAGAAATGGCAGCAGCACACAGTCTGAAATATCTCTCACACCAGTCTGTATTCACTAATGTCCTTGAATAATTTGTTGCCCTCTTCCAGTACTTCTAGTAGTAGTATCAATTTTCAGTAGAATAGACCCCCACCTACCCACGCCTAGCTAGGACCTTATCAAATAGAAGACACGTGGCAGGCTTGCCCAGAGGGAAAACAGCCCCCCCCAAAGGTTGTGATCGCCTCCTCAGAGACAAGACACCTCTGTTCCAAGTCTGAGAGTATTTATACACAGTCCCAGAGCTCCTCAGGTGCATT